TGTAGCTCCTGACGTTCGCAATCTGCGTGTATTATACGCAATTGTCAGGATTAATTCGTTTATATTTTGAACTGACAAGTAACTCAACGCAACGTTTCGTTTCTTTTATATTAAACTTGAATCACTTGACGTAAAACGAATTACGTCTACTATAAATACACGCAGGTATGAAATAGAATATCAAAAAATCGCAAGTCTCTAAACGTTAACTGTAAACTCTATGAACGTTCGCATATAATGAATTAGTTTCGCGCCAAAACTGTCCGTGCAGAGTCTGGGTTCTAAACTATGAAATGAGCCCACAGTTACATGGCTCCCTTAAATTGGTTCAGTCAAACAATTTACTATATAACTTAAAGCTAAAGTCCTTTTAAAGGTTAAAATATATCGTTCAGTTAGGCTCTCCGTCGGGGAATCGTTTATCTTCATTTTCACTTTGATCACCATCGCATTTTAATAGTAGTACCAACTTCTGGATTGGTCGTTCCAACACGCTTTTGGCATGAACTCGCTCTCCCTTTCAATTCAGTGAAGGATTACTCATAACCAGCTTCACCTTTCGCACAAATTCGTCCTCATCAGTATATTAAGCTTCTTCTATGCGGGCCATACGCCAACAATTTCTTGGCACGTTACTTTCGGACATTAACACAATATCTCCTGGTTGCATATTTCGCCGAGGGCGTACCCACTTCTGCCTCTGTTGTAGTGAATACAGAAATTCCTTTCGCCAACGCGACCAGAACTGATTTACCAAATATTGCACTCTTCGCCAGCGTTTCACTAGGTACATGTCCTCCTTCTGAAATTCTCCAGGTGGTGGTAAGAGAACACGAGATTTCATCGTAAGCAAGTGGTTTGGGGTGAGTGGTTCGCCTTCGTTCGGTGAGGTTAGGTTGTTGATGGTCAATGGTCGGCTGTTAACTATAGCTTCCGTTTCACACATGAAGGTGTGGAGTGACTCCTCGTTCAATTGTGTTCCAGACTGATTTAGTATGGCGTCGAGGATGTTACGAACAGTCCTTATCTGACGTTCCCACGATCCTCCCATATGACTAGCGGCTGGAACGTTTGGTTGGAATTCGATCCAGTCGCACTCGTTTTTTAGCAGGAAATCTCGCACGTTTTCTCTATTCATTTCCTTCAAGGCTTCTGCAAGTTCGTTACGCGCTCCTACGAGGTTCGTACCTTGATCGGATCGTAGCACTCTTATCGGACCACGTCTCGCCAGGAAACGACGTAATGCATTAATGAATGAGTCAGTTTCTAGGCTCTTCGCTACTTCGAGGTGTATTGCACGTGATGCAAGGCAAGTAAATAGGACACCATACCGTTTGAGTTCGCGTCGTCCTTCTTTAATAAGCCACGGCCCGAAGTAATCGACCCCGCAGTGTGTAAAGGGGGGTGATGGTTCCAGCCTGTCTTGAGGTAGATCGGCCATTTTCTGTTCTTGGGTGGAACCGCGGAGTTTCTGGCATGGAACGCACTCGGAAATATGATAAGCAACAGCGGAACTTCCACCAGTTATCCAATACCCGCTCGCACGAAGCTCATTCAGCGTCATTCCGCGTCCTTGGTGGTTAACCCGTTGATGATAGGCCCTGATCACTAATGCAGTAATGTGTCCCTTTCGTGGTAAGATGGTCGGATGTTTAACATGGTAGGGGGTGTTTGCACGAGTAAGGCGCCCACCGACTCGAAGGACGCCCTCCTTGTCGAGAAATGGATCCAAGCGATAAAGCGAACTGGTCTTCTTCATGACCGCTTTACGTCTTCGCACGTCGTCTTGACCAGAATCGGGTTTCTGCATTGAACGCAACGTTTGGATTTCCTTTGAGAACGCTTGTTCTTGTACTTGCTTCACGATTGCAACTTCGGCTTGAAGAAGCTCTTCGACGTTCGATGCTTGATATTCGGTTGTGGAGCTGATGGGAGCTTCATCGGGTCGCAAGTGAGATTTCTTCCATCGTCGTTGAAATCTTACGATTACGGCTACGGCTCTTTTAGCACGATGCCAATCCGAAAAGTACTCGAGACGCTCGGGAATTGTCGAGAAGCTCCTGGATGTTACTTGGGTGACGAGAACGTTTGTCTTCACTTCGGGATCGTTACTAGGAAGTGGTTGGTGGTCGTCAGCGGCCAAGTCGAGATTACGGTTCCATAGGAATGGGGGTCCTGAAAGCCAGCGTTTACTGTCGAGAAACTCGCGAGCCGTTAATCCCCTCGATGCGTCGTCGGCCGGATTTTCCTTGCTTTCAACGTATTTCCACTGCTCTGGAGAGGTCTCATCTCGAATTTGTTGTACGCGATTCGCAACGTAAACGTGAAATCTTCGAGCGTCATTACCAATGTAGCCAAGTACAACTTTACTATCGGTCCAATAGATGTCAAGAATCTTATCATAGTCAAGTTCACGGTGTAGCATGGTGCTTACTCTGACAGAAACTAACGCTGCGGTTAACTCTAAACGTGGAATCGTGACGTTCTTTAGGGGAGATACACGTGACTTTCCCATTGCGAGTGCACAGTGAACTTCGCCGTCGTGGTTCAACAAGCGTACGTAGGAACATTGTCCGTATCCTGACGTACTAGCGTTGGAGAAGTGATGAAGCTCTACGGATTTCAGTTGTTCGAAGCCTTCGGGTCTGAAACTTCTCTGTACTTTTACGTCGTTGAGTAGGAAAAGTTCTCTTCTCCATCTTTCCCATCTAACTTTGATTGAATCCGGAATTGGGTCGTCCCAGTCGGCTCCGTCTCGACATAGCTCTTGAAGAATTTGCCTGGCTATGAGCACAACGGGTGACACAAGACCAAGTGGGTCGTATACTGAACTGACGGTAGAAAGAATGCCACGTCTTGTCAATGGGCTGTCTTGCACTGTTATTTGCAATTGGAGGGCGTCGGACTCGATACACCACTGCACTCCCAGTGCTCTTTCTATCGGTAGGCGGTCGCTTCCGAGATTGAGGTTCTTCAACTGACACGAACGATCTTCGGGTGGGATTGCTGCGATGACTTCTTTCGAATTAGAGGCAAATTTATGGAGTCGTAAGCCACCCTTCGCGCACAGTTCTTTCGTTTTCTGAATCAAAGAAATCGCATGTTCGGCTGTGTTGACCGACTTTAGGCCGTCGTCGACATAAAAGTTGTCCTTAATAAAGCTTGCCGCCTCGGATCCAAACTCTCTCTCGTGGTCTGTTGCGATTTTCTTAAAGCCGTAATTTGCGCAACCTGGCGAAGATGCTGCGCCGAAAAGGTGTACGGTCATTCTGTACTCCACCGGGTTCTTCGTTATGTCGCCGTCCTCGAACCAAAGAAATCGTAGGAAGTTTCTGTGTGCTTCGATAACCTTGAATTGATGAAACATCGATTCGACGTCGCAAGTAAGCGCAACAGGATCTTGTCTGAACCGGCACAGAACACCTACGAGTTGATTTGTGAGATCGGGCCCTTGTAATAGATGGCGGTTAATGGATTCACCCTTGTAGTCTGCGCTGCAGTCAAAGACGACGCGTATCTTGTCTGGCTTTCGCGGGTGGTATACCCCATGATGTGGAATATACCATGTGCTGCCGTCCTCATTTTCCAGCTCCCTTTCAGGAACTCTCTCAGCATGGTTTTTCTCGATGAGGTCATTCATAAAGCGGCTGTAATCTTTCCGATATTTCTCGTTCTTCTCCAAGCGAATTCGTAGTTTCGACAGTCGGTGTAAGGCAAGCGACTTGTTGTTGGGCATCTTTGGTACTAGCTCACGAAATGGTAGGGGCATAACGTAATGGCCACCTTCTTCTTGATACGCACCTTGATCCATCTTAGATAGGAATTTCTTATCGTCCTGTGACATTGATGGCTCAGAATTTCTTCTTTCGGAAAAGTCCAACTCTAACATTTGGCACAACTGAGCAGGATTAATAACTTCCTTCACAGTTGGCTTAATGGCAAAATAACAAGTCTTCTGCTGTGGCGTGTTGGTGCTTGTGGGGTTACGCGTAGTTACTCGGTGAACGATGGCTACTGAACTTTCATCGTTGTTTTCGGTGGGCTTGGTAACATTGCCGATTATTCCCCAGCCCAAATCAGATCTTTGTGCGTAGGGTTCATTTTGCTGACCGGGAATAACTTCGCGCGGTATTATTGCTTGAGGACAGTTCGAACCAATCAAAAGTCCTACTTCGATATCGTTCTGAGGATGTATCAGATGTGAGGCAATGTCTCTGAGATGGGGCCACTTCTTAGCCATTTCGGGACAGGGGATTTGTTGACGTCTTGCTGGTATTGCGATGCAGGAAAAACTCGTGGGAAGTTGAATAACCTTGCTATGCATAACATCACTGACTTTTAGTCCCTTGATCCTTTGACTGGGTAGCAATTCGTTCTCCGCGTGCATAGTCGACAAGGATAGCTGTGTCTTCGGTCCACTGACGTTAAGGTGGTTTAATGTTTCCTGCGAAACAAAGGTTGTATCAGACTGATCATCCAGCAGCGCGTAGGTAAGTTTCTCTAACTCGGGATTATGCTCGTGACTAATCCACACGGGTACGATCATCGAACTGATTTGATGCTCGTTACCGTCGTTCATAAAACAAGTCTTTGTGCAGTTGGTCGTAGCGGGATTTTCAGGGGATTGGGAATTCTGATTGTTCTCGGGTTTCCTAAGATCTCCATGGAGGGATGTTGGATGCGACTTCTTGCACGTTGTACAAGTTTTTCTCCTTTTGCAGTGTTTAGATATGTGTCCTTGCGTTAAGCAGCCAAAGCAAAGACCCTTTTCTTTCGCGTATTCCTTTCTATCTATTATATCCTTTGCGCAAAACGACTGACACGAGTTCAGTTCATGAGGTCCATTACACAGTATGCAGGTGGTCTGCTTTGCTTCGCCGTTAGGTCTTTCCTTGCTCTGATCTCCTTCTTCTGATCGTGTTGCGAGTGTGTTTCGACTGCGATATTCATCTCGATTCGGACGATTCCTGCGATTCGGTATTTCGTACGGTCGACTCTTCGCTTTCTTAGAGTCGTCTTCCTTAAAACGGCTGATAACTGGATCGCAAGCTATATTGGACTCGGTCACGAGATATTTCACGAACTCGGAGAACGGGGGGAAATTGTGGTTCTTTTCTTTCCAATCGTAGACTCGTCTTCCCCATCTGACCAATGTCCATCTTGGTAACTTAGATGCTAACTTGTGATTTTCTTGATCATCATCCAGGACCTTCAGGCTACTAATCTTTTCCATCGCTTTCTCGCACTGAACTAGAAAGTCCGCGTAATTTCTTAATCCCTGTACGTCATTCGGGGATATTTGCGGCCAAGTGTCGAGCTTCCGTCGAAAGGCAGCTGCAACAGCAAATGAATCACCAAAACGCTTCGACAACATTTCTTTTGCTTTTCGATAGGCATCTTCACCGTCTAAGAGCATGAATCCTTTAATCAGTTCCTTCGCCTCACCTGTGACGTACTTGCCTAGGAAGTGGAGCCTTTCCGCAGGATTTATTGCTCGACCTTCGATCAGTGTCTCGAATGCCTTTAGCCAAATTGGAAATTGGAGGGGATCGCCATTGAAGATTCCAGGTTCGGGCAATGGTAGACGATTTTGATTCTGAACTTCTAATAATTTTGAAATTACGTCAAGTTGAGCTTGAACAAGGCTAGGTTCGTTGAGGACAGGGTTGGTTACAATTTTCTCGATCACGGGAGGTATAGTGTTCTGCTGGTTTGTGGGGATGGATGGCACAGCATTAGGGACAAATTCAGGAGTAGACGGATTTAATGGGCATAACTCTGGCGTTAATTTCGGGTCGTTTGGTGGCGTGGACTCGGCAGCAGTTGTGTTTTCTCGTACAGAGTTATCAGCATTTGGCATGTCCGGTTGGAGCCCTAGAAATCTTGCGAGGCGTTCTTGGGCACAACTTGCCTCATCGCTGTCTACCAAAGGTAGTGGTGCGAACTCTTCTTCGAATTTTTTGCACGCATCAATTCTTGCCTTCTTTTCTGCTAGTTCCTCTGCAATTTGGAATCTCTTCGTGGCGTTCTGTATTTCTTCCTTCACTCTCGTTTCTTCTTTCTGAAGTTGAAGCCTTAACTCGTCAAGGTTTTCTAAAGCCTTTCGATTGGCTTCGTCTAACTCTTCCTTCTTTCCAGCCATATGCATCTTGGCCTTTAAAGTAGCTAATTCTTCTTCTAAGTTGAGTCGACGTTGTCGCGCCGTTGAAGTTGTGCTTGCTGTGGTTAAACGAGAGGACTTACTTCTTGAGGATTTTTTACTTCGTCTGGAAGAAGCAACCGATGACCGATCATCATTAACCATCTTTAATTCGTAAATAACCTCGTTAACTTCCTTGAGAATGGCGTTCGTCTCACGACTTGTGTTCTCAAATTTAGTGAATAAGGTCATTCTTTCTACAGCTGATTCCAAGGTATTTTCAAGTGCATCTTGAGCCGATGTTAGTTCTTTCATGCATTCCGACAAGGCTTGAGACCCAAGTTCGAGTGAGCTGATGTTCCTCTCATTCACGAGTTTATACCTCAAGTCATTCATTTCTTTCCTCCAAATTTTAGAAGCAATGTGAAATTGATCTTGTAAACGCATGACCACGTCGCGATCTGGTGGTAATTTCTGTAAATCTTCCGTTTTGTCGGTATTTTTTGCTCCTTCGACGATTTCAGCATTTTCGCATAAACTTTCGCGACAAATTTCCGTATTTTCGTTACTCATTTCGCTATTACGCAATGTTTACGAATGCGTTCCGATTCGCTTCCGATTATATCCCGACGGCGTCCAAGATGGCGCCGTACGCCTTGTTTATTTCAGAAAACTATCAAGTATCAAAGACAGTTCGCTAGATATATAAAGGTACGTAAACAATCCAATGACTTCAAACCTTCAAACAAGATACAGGAAAGCCTTGAGTTCTTTCTGTAGATGATTTCGTTTTACTGTAGCTCCTGACGTTCGCAATCTGCGTGTATTATACGCAATTGTCAGGATTAATTCGTTTATATTTTGAACTGACAAGTAACTCAACGCAACGTTTCGTTTCTTTTATATTAAACTTGAATCACTTGACGTAAAACGAATTACGTCTACTATAAATACACGCAGGTATGAAATAGAATATCAAAAAATCGCAAGTCTCTAAACGTTAACTGTAAACTCTATGAACGTTCGCATATAATGAATTAGTTTCGCGCCAAAACTGTCCGTGAGAGTCTGGGTTCTAAACTATGAAATGAGCCCACAGTTACATTCCCTATAATTTGTTAACCGCTACAATAACAGAAATACTGCAGTAAGAGACAGAGATTTTCAAAAAATAGTTTTTAAAAAAGGTTTAATTAAAAGAGTTTTAAAAAGCAAAATGTTTAAAAAGTTAGATTTTCAAAAAAGTTTAAAAAATTTAAAACGGTTAAAAAAGTTAGGGTTAGGAGTTAGGGATTACTGGTTAGGAGTTAGGGGATTAGTGGTTAGGGGTTAGTGCCGCGAATTTATTATTATGATAAATTCAAAATGTGGTGCAAATTTATCATAATGAACTTATACTTGCCATAGCAGGGCACTTTTACCTACCCAGGAACAGCTGACAAACATGACTATCCAGTCTGTTACTAGATCAGTTTCATTTTCAATTGGGTCTATCATGTCAATATGAGATCAGTGGATATAGACTTATATAAAAATGAACCCAGTAGACAAATTTGGGTAACGTTGTTTACATCGTTGCTACCCAATTCACAGCTTTGGATAACTCACATGCCTAGTTACTATTATTCTAGTTTACAGAAGCATAGACTGAATAGAACAAAAGTAACTAAACATTAAACTTATGTATTATCACTTTATATTTACTGAGATCGAGGGAAACAGTGTGTTTTGCGGACCAGAGCCACTTATAGATAGTATATAAGTGTTAATGTATGAATAATTCACCGATTATTGTAGTGAACTTAATTTGAAACCAAAACTGGATAAATGGAACTCCGTAAATAAAAAGTTTAAAATATGAACTTTGAAACTTCGCGGTTGACACGCATGCGTATTGCACCCATTTTATTATTGACTGGTCAATAAATGTTTCATTGCGGACCGGTTGCCGAACATGAGGTTTTGTGGACCGGGACGTGACACGGTTTTGACTAATCGGCAAATAGAGAGTTATAAGACTACATAACAATAAGAGTTAGTTACCTTTGTTCTATTCTATGCTTTTGTAATCTAGAACCATAGTAACTAGGCATGTGTGTTATATAAAGTTGTGAATTGGGTATAAACAAACGTTACCCAAATTTGTCTAATCGAGCTAAACTTGGGTCAGTACACGCATTTTCATAAAAATAGCAACCCTTCGGCTAAACAGGATTCCGATTATCATATTGGGCGACATCAAAATCATGGGAGTTTCTGCAAAGTGCATTAAACCGATATTACCTGTAGCACTATTTCATGACCTAAACATCGCACAGAGACACTTATGTAAGTTTTCTACTCACATTGGTCGTTCAGACATGCACCTCCCGCCGTGGGAGCGGCAGATCAAAGTCATTATCAGGAGATTATGGTATTGTGTCAATGTTTTTGACGAAGTTCTTATTATATTACCAATAATATTATTTGATAACATTAAAAGATATCAGGGTCGTAGATACCAGCAGAATCGTTGTAACTGTACTACAGTATGTTTATAGTGAAAGTGTATAATTAGTGCAAGTGTAAGGTAAGTATAAATGTAAAGCAATTCGAATTCAAGAAGTTCTGTACACGATCACTTGTATATATTGTAATTATATTTTCACAAAATTGTATATATTCTTTTGAACAAGCTAAAAAAGTCTACTTATGGGTAATAAATCAGCTTATTTTAACTCTTCAATTACTAGTGTCGCTGATCAGCGAACACGCGAATGTAAACAAACAGCTAAAAATAGACCCAATTTGGAGATTTATAACTTTTCAGAAAATAGCTTGCAGACGAGTTTTATTCCTGATTGGTTAACTTTAGTAGGTATACTTTCAAATTACATCCCTTTTGAACTTCAGATAGGTGCCACTTTTGAGCTATTTTAAGTAAAATATGAGCAATTTTCAGCCTCTCGTCGCCATCTTGAAAACATAGTTTCGTAAAACTATAAAAAAAATCGTATTAAGCAAATAAGGTTGTTCAATCTCCATGTAAACGAGAGTATTAAGGCCCGGTCACACTACACAACGATAACGATACGATAAATTGTAAACACGCGATAATTGGCAAAAAAATTGTGTTAGTGTCCACACAACAACGAAATTGATAAAATTATCGTTAGACGATAACGATAACGATTTTAAAATCGCTCACCTGAGCGATTTTTTTTTCAGTCGGACGATAACGATAAATTTTTGACCAATCAGCGCGCGTATACAAGTTATCGTATCGTTATCGTTGTGTAGTGTGACCTGGGCTTTAGTGTTAATCTTGCATGTGAACAGTAACTGGAGGGGATAAACGCATCACAACGTTTTTAAAATATCAGATGAATTCTTGTAAAATTCCCCTTCATTTCCGGTCTGAAAATATTCTCGCAAGGTCAAATTTTAACATGGCTATAACTCCTATAAAACAGAAAGTTGAAACGTTCTGAAAGAAGCTCGATTAATATTGACCAAAGTCTAGTTCATATGCAAAATATGAGCTAAATCTATTTTTCCTTCCCCAAACCAGTGAGTGGATTTTACTGAGAGACCCTCTTAAGTTGTAAAGTAAATCTAACAGTCAATCGCTTTTGATAAAACCTTGACCCGCCTTGACATTGTTAAAGGGGCCCTACAGTAATTTTTTAGTCAAGTAAGTATTGTTTGCATTTTTAGTGCAGAGTTTCTTTGAAACTGTGCACTATTGTGATGACTGGGAAAATTCACATCAGTCAGTCAGTGATCAATCAGTCAGTGATCAATCAGTCATAGAGTTAACTTTCCGGGGGGTGTATTATGTGTATACGATTTATGTTTGTAGTGATTTATTGTGCTTTGAAGGTTATTTAGGCAATTTAAGTTGTTTTATTTAAATATTCTTTTATTCTTTTGCCAAGTTCACAAAAATTTCGAGGAATCGTTGTCGTTATTGTAAATTTTTGTAAGCAGCGAGACAGTGTTGTTTTCAAATGTATGAACATTTCAGACGTGTCAGTATTATATTGAGAAAATCCTTGAGATACTACGCAATATATAAATTGATGTTATGTACTTATGCATTACGATTTACGGGCATTCAAGTGCCGATATTATTTTGAGGGTATATTGTCATATACATTGTACAGAGCTAGGAAGCAGCGAGACAGTTCAAATGTATATTAAAACATTTCAGACGTATATTATATTGAGAAAATCTTTGAGATACTACGCAATATGAATTGATGTTATGCATTACGGGCATTCAATGAAGTACCGATATTACTTAGTTTGACGGTAAATACATTGTACAGAGTTAGGAAGCAGCGAGACAAGTGTTGTTTCGAAATGTATAAACATTTCAGACGTGTATTATATTGAGAAAATCTTTGAGATACTACGCAATATATAAATTGATGTTATGCACGTAATGCATTCAAGTGTCGATATTAGTTTGACGGTATATTCATTGTACAGAGCTAGGAAGCAGCGAGACAGTGTTGTTTTCAAATGTATAAAAATTTCAGACGTGTATTATATTGAGAAAATCTTTGAGATACTACGCAATATGTAAATTGATGTTATGCACGTATTAAATGCATTCAAGTGCCGATATTAGTTTGACGGTATATTCATTGTGCAGAGCTATAGGAAACAGCGAGACAGTGTTGCTTTCAAACGTATAAACATTTCAAACATAAATATTGAGAAAATCTTGGTTTACGTGTCTGGCACAACGTCAATGGTGCAAACTCGTGTTCAGAGTCACTTCAGACTTCAGTGCAAGTGTGCAACGAGAACTCTACCAGATCTTACGAGAATCTATCTGTATCAAAGCTTGTCAAAACTGCTATAAACACTGCTATAACTGTGAAACCATTGAAATATTGATTACATGCGAAAAGCTGAAAATGAATCATGAACATGACCTTACCTTCGAAATAACTCAAAGGTTAGTGAGCTTGTTATTGTGACACGTCACAACTAGTTTAAAATGCGGAAGCGGATGCAAAACGGAGCGGATCCACGGAACGGATATGGAGATAAAATGCGGAACGGAACGGATTTGATAAATCCTCTTTTTTACGTTTCTGTGTTTTAGATTTATGTGTTTTTTTGTAATGGAATACAACGTCGTAGTGCTTATTACACGCTGGTCATATTCAGCAAATTTTCTCCCAATACCGCAGGCTCGCATTTTCAGCGAAATTGCGGTGAAAAATTGAAAGTTTTGCATTTTGCATAGCCTGAAATGTCAGGCGTTCTCCCCGCTTGAACACGGGGAGAGACGCCTGAAATCTGAGCGCGATAATGCCGTCCGGTGACGTCAAGAGCTTTTCGAATAATGTAAAGTAAAAGTTGATTGGCCAGTAGTCACCTACGATAAATGAACGTTTCTAATTGGTTGTATAATACGTAATTGGATTAAGGCATTTTTGTTTTTAAATGTAAACATGGAGTTGCAATTTGATACTAGTACTTGTAGCTTCGAAGAAAGATTCGAAACAAGTGTAAAGGCTCTTCTGCCACGGCTTGGTTTGGCTGAATTAAAACCAGAACAAAAGTGGGCATTGTTTTATTTGATATCTGGAAAAGATGTGTTTGTAAGCCTTCCAACTGGCTATGGCAAGTCCGTAATCTATATCAGCTTGCACCTTTGATTGTAGAAGAAATGGCACAGTTAGATGATAAAACGCGAACTGCAATTGTACTGGTTATTTCTCCGCTAGTGTCCTTAATGAATGATCAAGTAAAATATCTAAAGCATAAATGCATCATTTATTGGGAAGGAACAAGATTTTGATAATCTGAAGAAGATTTTAAAAGGTGAAATAAACATTGTGTATTCGTCCCCTGAAGCAATGCTTGCAAACGAACAGTGGCGTGGGATGGTCAGTTCTCCTATCTAAATGTAATTGCTGTGGCCGTAGTTGAAGCCCACTGTATCACCCATTGGTGTGTATATTAAAATATACTGTAATTTGTTTTTTCTAACAACGTACGTGCTCTTGCAATTTGTGTTGAAATGTAAACGTCATATTGCAGTATGCCAGTATCTAATACATACATTATTTGTCGACTGACAATATAAAGCATACATATCCAAATGCGTCAAGTTTTAGGATAAGACATTTGGCGGCGAGTTGGGTGTAGAGCCCTACAGTTGGTTCAGCATTTTTTTTTTGGAAGCAACGGTTCAGCATTTTTTTATCCAGAAAAGACACCAGTCGGAAAATTCTGTTGTTATGGCAACATAATTTTTCAACCCTGGTTTACTTCTGGTATTGATCTACATAACAGCTGTGTAAGATTTCACGCTTCGTGTAGCGCTGTAGAGCTCTACAGCAAACCCTACGCTTTTTTGCTATCCTAAAACTTGACGGGTCTACCAAAATCGAATTATCATCAGTCTCTTCGTATATTACTAACTCATGCAATTTTTATACACTGAACTTTTGATTTATTTCGAGATATATATTTCAACTATGCAAAAGCACAAAACATATGATATTCATATTGTTGTAATATATATATTTGTTGTAATTTTTTTAATAACAAATACATGCATTTATATAAGGGCCAAAGTGGTAACTCAGGAAGCATAGCATTCCGGGTATGGTACAACAACATTCAGCAGTTGAGGTCATTGCTTCCCAGTAATACTCCATTTGTTGCCGTGACAGCCACAGCTTTGAGCTATGAAATCAACAAGGGAAAAAATTTGCAATGCATTAAACATGAGAAGTCCTGAATTTATCATGGTTTCTCCTGAAAGGAGTAACATTTCTTATGCTGTTGTGAAAATGTCTAAGTCTGAGTACTTTGACTGGTTATTATGTATGCTTAAATCCAACGGTATACAGTGTGACAGGACTAATTTATTGTCAAACTGTAAATCAATGCAGCACTCTCTTTTCAATCTTCTCTGCAATACTTGGGTCTAAAATCTACATTCATAATGATAAACCAAACCAGAAAGAACGGTTGTTGGAGATGATGCATGCCAGAACACCAGATAGTGTGAAAGAAACCATATTAAATTCAACGGCAGATAGTAGTGGGCATATAAGAGTACTCATTTGTGCAATTGCATTTGGGATGGGGGTTGATGCCAAAGGAGTGAGAAATATAATAAATTTTGGCCCTTGACAGTATGTTTTCCAGTCTTTTTCATCATCTTAATACATTTGTCATAATTGTCAAGCATTGTACTACCAACAAACTGGAACTTACAGACTGTTGAGACTGCCTTCTCTGTCAGATTTCTACCAAGTTTCATGACTTGTTCTTTTAGAACCTTATTGTCATGTTCAAGATCTAGGTCCAATGGGACATTAGATGATCTACCCTTGACAGACCGAGCAAATTTACTCACCGTCATGCCAGCTTCGGTTTGTCTTGTCTGGCATGTTCCGGCTGAACCATTCGATATAGCATCAGATTTCTTTGTAGGAGTACTTTTAAACAGAGGAATGAAGTCGGTATAACATTGCCTGCTCCCAAAAGGGCTTTTCAAACAATATATATATATATATATATATATATATATATACCCACAAACATACATACATACATACAACACAAATTAAAATTTTATAATTATTAGTAATGTCACTTTAAAAATGTTAACTACTTCCTAATAAAATCCATACAGTAAAAAGGTTTATATGCTAATTTAAACAAGCCCAAATTGTCTAAAACTATTAACTACTTTCTAAAAATCCATGCAATAAATGACATTTATATTCTAATTTAAACCAATTAATTCGTATCACACTGATGGTCAGGGAGAGACGAACCAACGGGGTCTGGATTTTAATTTTTAACAAGATCTCGTATCGCCTCTTGCAGGTTTTCCTCAACAGTTTTCTTTCTACGGAGTTTCCTTAATAATAAACACCCCGAGCATATACGTGTGTTATCATCTATTCGAGGACTGATAGGCAGTTTTCTTATTTCCTGTTCTATTGGGAACGAAGAACGACCACGTACGTTGATTCTCGATTTGCTTGAACTAAGATTGGTTAAGCAGAGAAAGCATAACACCTCATCCATATGTATAATTCTACGCACTGGCGGTTCCTATTTTGCCGCCATTTTGTTTAATAAAATTTATTCCAAAATAATTATTCGAAAAGCTCTTGACGTCACCGGACGGCATTATCGCGCTCAGATTTCAGGCGTCTCTCCCCGTGTACAAGCGGGGAGAACGCCTGACATTTCAGGCTACATTTTGCACAGAACTGGCCACTTTCTGTAAGATGTCCGCTGACAATACAAGCCCGCACAAGTGGGAGTACTTTTGCTAAATTGGACCAACGTGTTATTCAACATATCTTATACAGCTATTTCAATTAAAGTTGTGACTGGGAAAATAGTCAAATGTACAATATGGGCGCTAAAACGATGATGGCATTGGCAATAATCATAGATTTAAGTACTATTTAAAAACGCGTAGGAGTGTTTTATCACATATAAAACACGACAGGTAGCGGAGTGTTTATATGTGATAAAACACGACTACAAGTGCTTTAATTAAATAGCTTCAAAAACGACTCATCTTATACGAGTTCATTGGCGAAGTAATTTTTAAAATAAACTTTGTCTAAACCGAGAAAATCAAAGCTAAAGTTTATGTAAATTACGTGATTTTTTATCACATAAAACCACGACACGCTTATGATTTTTCTTTGTGTTTTGCTCCTGAATTATTAATGAGTTTTTGAAATAAGTTTAGCATATCAGTAGCTTTGTGGGGATACTTGGCGACAGCTTCAATACATTGTGTCAGTTCCACGAAGCACGACGTTTCTGATGTGTTAGGCTTGTTTTAAACGTCGGGTTACTCGTGTGCCGAACGCATTAAAAACAATAGATAATGAGATGAAATGCCTATGATAACTGTTTATTTCGTAGTGTAACCCATGTGACGACATGTAATTAAGGCTATAAGCCACGCTTGAAAAGCTATTCAATTAATAAGCATGCCTTGTAGCGTTTGTCTTTGAAACTCTGCACTATCCTTGGATCCCTAGTTGTTATTGTCGCTACTTGACATGCGCATCACGGCATGCATGCGTCTTCCGGTGTGCGGAAGTACTCATATTCATGGATACTGCATGTAAGATACAGCCAAACGAATCTCCGTGGAGTCCCCTACTTAAGGTGGCTTTTCGACTATAAAATGACTATAGGGTCCCTTAACTCCCTTTAACTTGTGATTCTAGTAGACAGTGCTGAGAACTTTTTAACACAGAAGTTTGAGAGCTTGGTGAACAAGAGTAAAAGAAACAAAGCTGATAGCAAGAATGGTACTGATGGAGTGATTGTTAGCGATGGCGATACAGCACATCCTGCTGTACTGGAGGTATGTAAATGTTCCTGCTCTGTTGATCTAGAGGGCTTGAAGCTTGAAATAACAATTTTAGAATCGCGATTATTTGCCGCAATTTCCAAAAATGAGCTTGAGTCAGATGTTGATCTGCTCAGAGTTAAACAGAAAGAATCGGAAGCCGCTATAAGACGCCAAGACGATGTGATTTGTACTCTTAACGAAGAGAATCAATTCCTTAAAGCAAGGCTGTTGGCTCTTGAAGAGTCGTTTCTCAAGATAACTTATAATGTCAATAAAGACAAAGAACCTGGCTCATCAGTTTACAAAGCTAAAAGTATTGACAAAGCGGCCGCTTTTCATGCCAGTGAACAATCTAACAAAAGTAACCTCAGCTCAATTAACACTGAATTACTTAATACCTCTCATGACAATAGTCTTGCTCGGCATAATAACAACGGACAATGCAATGCCGATGATTTGAATAATAATCAAATTGACCTTGCAAATGATGATGCTGTGTTTTCCTCAAAACAGCAGAATGAAAATAATACACACAAAGGCATAAATTCGAACTTGCAATCCGAATCGCAGCAGTCAACCAACATAGAAGGGAATAAACTTAGATATGATCTGTCCCCAAAAACCTCTCATGACAATAGCCGTATTAGTTACGATCCATCTCTAAAAACCTCTCATGACAATAGCCTTATTCGGCATAATGACAACAGCCAATGCAATGCCGACGATTTGAAGAATAATCACATTGACCTTACAAATGATGATGCCGTGCTTTTCCCAAAACAGCAGAATAAAAATAATAAACACAAAGGCTTAAATTCGAACTTGAAATCGGTATCGCAGCAGTCAATTAACAGCGAAAGGGAAAAACCCAAATACAATCCGTCTCTAAAAACCTCTGTCCCGTGCCCTTTTCTCATACGCCGTGGTAGATGTTTTAAAGGCGATCGATGCGACTTTAAACACCCAAAACCATCTGAAACACGGAAGTGCAATATACCATGTCCTTTTCTGCATAAAAGAGGGTACTGTCTGAAGAAAGAGATGTGTGATTTTTCCCACGACAAATTGATACGTAACTCATCCCCCATGCCCTATCCAGGCAATTATGCGTCTCCTGATTTTTTATCACACCGATTCACCAACCCATTTCCGCCGTACCAGAATTATTATTACCGAGAACCTTGGAGAAATCTCCGCCCACTGAATCCTTTAATGGAAATTCCAACCCCTATATGGTCACAATATCCAAATCCCTATTCTCCAGCCATACAGCCCCCAATGAGTTACCCAAATCAGTACCCTTCACCCCTGATGACAAATTACACAAGACCGCCCAGGCGTTGACAGGTGATTACGATTCATCCAAGTTTGTTTGTCCCTTCCTTAACAATGGTACCCATAAGATACCCGATACCGAACTAAATAAGATACCCGTCAGAATTACTCCACGCACAAGACAGCACAGTTATATAAAATCTCTTAGGCATTGCAGCACTTTGAGACCTATACAAGTGAATAAAACTGCCCCGAGTCAACCACGCTTAATTCCATGTTGCTCAGTGTTGAACGCCAGATCTATTGCAAAACCTGATGCTTTTCCTGCTTTGTGCGCAGACATTAAGTGCAATAACATAGATGTTTGTTGTATAACCGAAACATGGCTCAAACCGACTATACCTAGCTCCCTCGTTTGTCCTCCCAATTTTTCCATCATTAGAAAGGATAGAACAAACTGTGGAGGAGGAGGTGTCGCGATCTTATGCAGGAATGATTGGAGAATGCAGCTACTACCTGATTTGGATAATCCATTCGAATGTT